ACAGCAATGATGAGAATCGTTGATCGGCTGCCACCTGGCATATGCCTTTGACTGGAATCGAACCTGGGACCCTTCAGTCCACAGACTGATGTTCTATCCACTGCGCCAAACTAGAACTTTCTGCCAGTTTAGCAAGTCCCTTTAGGAAAAGGCGCAATGGGGGGAATCTATGGAGGCATTAGACAAAAGATGGTTCTGGGAAGGAAAGATGACAAAGTTCCCCAGAGGAAGTGTTCACAGTATGAGGCTGGCAGGTGCCGGAGCCCTTCCAGAAGGGGGTCTATGAGCCAGATCCAGGGCAGCTCCCCGTGCCTGTGTGCTGCTGGGCAAGGGGAGGTGGAGGGTGGGAAAATAAAGTCTGGGGCCACAGTGGGGGCCTTGGGACATATGCTGTGCTGGTTTGCTCTGGAGTTCAGGCCAAGTGAAGCCATAAAGGTTTCCAGGAAGCCTGGTGACAGCCAGACCTGAGCCCAGGAAGACCCTCGGTGGACCATGCTGGCCAGACCTTGAAGTCACCAGGGCAACAGCAGCAAAGATGATGAACAGGAAGGCCTTAGCAGGTTTGGCTCCATGGATAAAGCTCGGCCTGTGGACGGAAGGATCCCGGGTTCGATTACGGTAAAGGGCACTTGCCCAGGTTGCAGACTTGATCCCCGGTAGGGGGCATGCAGGAGGCAGCCAATCAGTAATTCTCTCTCATCACTGATGTTTCTATCGCCCTCTCCCTCTCTGAAATCAATAAAAATATATTTTTAAAAAAACGAACAGGAGAGCCAAACCGGTTTCGGCTCAATGAATAGACCGTCGGCTTGGGGACTGAAAGGTCCCGAGTTCAATTCCGGTCAAGGGCATATCCCCAGTAGGGGGTGTGCAAGAGGCAGCTGATCGATGACTCTCTCTCATCGATGTTTCTAACTCTCTATCTCCCTTCCTCTCTGTACAAAATCAATAAAATATATTTTTTTTACAAAAAGAGTAAAATACTAAAAAAAAAAAAAAAAATGAACAGGAGAGCCGAAACCGGTTTGGCTCAGTGGATAGAGCATCAGTCTGCAGACTGAAAGGTCCCAGGTTCGATTCCGGTCAAGGGCATGTACCTTGGTTGTGGGCACATCCCCAGTGGGGGGTGTGCAGGAAGCAGCTAATCAGTGTTTCTCTCTCATCAATGCTTCTAACGCTCTATCCCTGTCCCTTCCTCTCTGTGAAAAATCAATAAAATATATATATTTTTTAAAATGAACAGGAGAGGAGATACAGGCAAAGAGATCTAATTTAAACTAATTTTTATTTATTTTTTTCTCTCCCAATGTTACTTCTTGCTCTCTCTCCAGACCTCTCTGTCAGGGAGAGGTACAAGAGTCTGATTTTTCACATGGATCAGAATGACTTTCTCAGCCCTCAATTTTAACATGCGATTCCCAGTGATGGGCCAAGTCAGCCTAGAAACGCTTCCTCGAAAGTTCTACTTCTTCATTCACTAAGCAAACTAGGAAGTGTGATCTGTGGAGCGGCACTCAGTATTTTTGCCTTCTCCAAAATAACGCAGTCTGAGATAAAACACCCGTGCCCAGGGCAGTCACAGTACTGACACACGTTAAGAGCCCTAGAGAGAAGGCCAGGGAGTTGGTTTTCTTACGGGGGGAGGAGAGAGAACAGTTGCATTTCCACATCCCCACCTCCAGTCCAGCCAACCTCGGAAGCCAGCCTGCAGCCTCTCCAGAAGCCGGAGCCAATTCTCAAACAAGATGGGCAGTGTGGCCAGGAGCACCGGGCGCCCTGGCTGGGCCACCAGACACCGCCCTGAGCACATTGTTTCCATCTCCAAGTGATCAACTAAGTCCTGGGCTCCCAAGGCTCTGAGCTGCCTTCCACCTCTCAAGGTGACATTTTAAAAATACATTTAAAAAAAAAATACATTTTTAGGCCAAAACCGGTTTGGCTCAGTGGATAGGACATCCGCCTGGGAACTGAAAGGTCCTGGGTTCAATTCTGGTCAAGGGCATGTACCTTGGTTGCGGGCTCATCCCCAGTAGGGGGTGTGCAAGAGGCAGCTGATCGATGATTCTCTCTCATTGATGTTTCTAACTCTTTATACCTCTCTCTTCCTCTCTGTAAAAAAAAAAAAAATCAATGAAAATATATATATATTTTTAAATACATTTTTATTTATTTTAGAGAGAAAGGGAGAGAAACAGCGATGAGAGAGAATCCCTGGATGCCTCCTGCACAACCCCTGCTGGGGATCGAACCTGCAGCTCGATGTGCCCTGACTGGGAATCATACTGTGACCTGTGACCTCCTGGTTCATAGGTCGATGCTCAATCCCTGAGCCACATTTTTAAACACTGATTTTAGAGAAAGGAAGTGAGAGGGGAAAACACACACACTCTGATTTTTTGTTCCACTCATTTATGCCAGGGCCCAGTGCTGCTTGCCCCTGCTGCCCCATCCTGTTTGAGAAGAATCGTTTGATTCTTGTATGTGCCCTAACCAGGGATCAAACTCACAACCTTCGCCCATTGGACACCATGCTCTAACCAACTGATCTACCCAGCCAGGGCTCAAGTTATCTTTTTAAATATTTTTATTGATTTCAGAGAGGAAGGGAGAGGGAGAAATAGAAATATCAATGATGAGAATCATTGATTGACTGCCTCCTGCATGCACCCTACTGGAGATTGAACCGGCAATCCAGGTACGTGTCTCCTTGACTGGATTCGAACCCAGGACCCTTCAGTACACAGGCAGACATTCTATCCACTGAGACAAACCTGTTAGGGCTCAAGTTGTCATTTCTGATGATGCTCTTAGGCCCTCTTCTTCTCCCAAATTCCTTTAACAGGCTCAGCTGTAACAAAATATCCGGGGGGTGGAGTATCAACCTTGCTTGCAGACCCCCCAGGACTACAATGCTCAGGCCGGAAACTTCTAGAAATGGTCCAGTTTGTTGATGTTGACCAAGACTGTTAATGAAGAAAAAACTGATCCTTAGCCAGTTTGGCTCAGTGGACCCTTCTGCAGACGGAAGGGTCCTAGATTCAATTCCAGAAAAGGGCACGGTAGCTTGGTTGCAGGCTGTGCAACCAGCCCATGGATGTGTGTTTCTCTCACACAGATGTTTCTTTCTCTGTCTTTCCCCTCACTCTCCCACTCCCTAAAAATCAATGGAAAAATATCTTTGGGTGAGGATTTTTTTAAAGGAGAAAATTGGAATTCATTGAAGGAAAGGCAGTAAGGACTGTAATCAAAGTATATCTACAACATGGGGGCTACAATATGGAATCTGAGAAGTCCAGTGCTCCTTTGGACTTTAAAAAAAAAATTACTAAACAATGACAAGGTACTTATCAATGCCAAAAAATGTAAACGGGCTTTGAAAACGGCAAGAAACAGACCCTTTGGGGGAGTTTCAATTGTCTTCCTTGACTGGAATTAGGGGCAGCGGGTAACCACCGCCCCCAACAGCTCTCGGCTCCCCCCACGTGACAGTTTGCCTACTTAGATCAACTGCGAACGGTGACCACCGAGAAACACAGGAGAATGGAGTCATTTCAAGTCCTAGGACCTGTTTCCACCGCTGTAGTGACTGAATTATTCAGAGGATCATCAAGGTCATTTTGCTTCTAAAAGCTGCACCCCTGCCTGCTGCAGCCCCTCCCCCGGGGGAGCGGTCTTAGGGTAGCACCCAGGCCCAATGGCAGGGCCGGCCCCGGGCTGGGCACCCCGGGAACCCGCCCAAGAAGGACCGGAAAAAGGGTCCCAGGAACAGGTATGGGCTCTGGAAAAACAGTTCTAAGAAACAGGTCAAGCTTCCTGAGGGAGTGGGAGCCCTGGTGTGGCTGTGAGTTACGGGGAAGGGAACTACACTATAAGGAAGGGGGAAATGTTCCTTAAGAAATGCTCTCAGCCTGGGGCAAACGCAGCATCTGCTTCAGAGAGACCCCCCCCTCCCCCCCCAGCGCGCAGATGCCCAGCCTGGGCGCTGGGGACCCGACCACTGCCCGGCCAGGAAGCACCCCGGCCAGACCAGAGGCCCGAGCGCCACCGCCCCGACCGGAGGGAAAACGTGGAACCAAAATGGAGGGGCCCGGCCGGTGGCTCCGGGACGACAGCCGCGTGGTGGCTCCGCATGGCGCCGGCGCTCCCAGCTGCTGCGCCGGAGAGCCGCTCCGGCCGGGCTGGACGGGCGGCTGGACGGCGTGGGAGCAGCCGCCGCCTTCCGGGCAGTTCGGGCGGAAAGAAAGGACCATCTGGGAGGACGCCGCCTCGCCCACCTGCAGAGCTGCCGGGGCCGGGGCCGGCATCCCCGGTCCCTCCCGCGGGGCGCACAAAGGAAGCGGCTCGGAGGGCCCGGCGCCGCGGGCGGGGCTCCCCGATCCGGGGGTCCCGGCGCGCACGCCGCGGGCACCGGAGCGCGGCGCCCATGAACTTCCCCGTGGAGCCGCCACGTTTCCTCCGCAGCCACAAAGGGAGTCCCGTCTGCTCTCATCCCACCGGTGCCACCGCATCCTGTGGCTCAGGCTTCACCCGGGGAGCCCGCCACCCCGGCCCGCGAGGGCTCCCTCCCGGACGCGCCCCACGCTCGCAGCCTCCGGTCCCTCCGGTCGGTCCCGATCGCTCCGCCTCCGGCCCCGGCTGCGCGGCGGGGCGCGCGTCCCCGCGGGGCCAGGAGAGGGGTGCCCGGGGGCGCGTGGGGGACCCTCCTCGGAGCCCTCTCCCCAGCAAGGAGCGGACCCGCACAACAATGAGCATCCGCCGCCGCCGCCCCTCCCCCGCAGGACCCGGCCACGAGCGAGCGGCGCCGGGAAAGGACCCCGCGGGGTGGCCGGCACCCGAGCCTCCGACCGCCCGGCACCCGCCCGCCGCCCCGCCCCGCCGCGCCCCAAGTCCGCGCTGGAGCGCCGCCAGCGGCCAGGCGCGCGGGCCACGCGGCGGCTGCAGCTGCCCGGGTCGCGGCCGCTGTCCCGGGCGCCCGCCGGCCCGGAGAGCGGGGCACGTACCTTGCCGCTGGCCGTGCCGCCGCTGACGCCGATGAGGAAGGGCTCGCCGCCGCCGGGCTGCTGGTCCTGCAGGCTCTGCTCGCTGTCCCCGGCCATGGCTCGCGCGCCCTCCTCCGCGGCCTGTGTGCGCGGCCGCACCGCCCTCGCTCCCGCCGGCCCGCCGCGCCCGCTCCCGCCGCCCCGGAGCCGCCTTCGCCCGGAGCCGCCGCCGCCCGCCGCCCGGTCCAGTGAGGCCGCGGTCCCGGAGGAGCGCGCTGTGCGCACGCGGCCCTTACATCGCGGGGCGGCGGGAGGCGCTCCAATCCGGCGAGCGGCGCGCGCCCATTCGCCGGCGGCGGCGGCGTCCGGCCCGGCCCCGCCCTCCGCCCCGCCCAGCCCCGCCCCGCCCTCGGCCGCCGCCCGCGGGGTGGGTGCGAGCGGCCGCCTTCCCGCCTGGCAGTAACCCTTCCCCCGCGACCTTGGCTTTAATTAGAGACGCGGCCGCCTCCGTGAGGATGAAAGGCTGAGAGGGCGGGCAGGGCCTGCAGGGAGTGCCCCGGGCTGAGGAGCAAAATGGAAACCAGGCTGGGAGATGGAGATGAAACCGAGCTAAGGTCCTTTACCCAGGCTGACAACGCGCTTTCCCAATATTAGAATTCTCCCCTCCCGCTGGCCAAAGTAATGTCAGCGCCGGTGTGAAGCATCTCCTCCTGGAAACCCCGACACCGTTCTCCCCGACGCCGTGGGGAAGGGGTGATGTGAGGGGCACGCTGCCTCCTAACCCAGCCCCTCTCAAACCAGTTTGAAACCCAAGGATCCTGGGGAGTCGGGGTCAGTGCGTAGACGCCCTGTGGACGATTAATAGCTTTAATGAACTGTTTTCCAGAGACTGGCCTCTGGGCGAGAAAGGCAGTGTCGGCCTTGGACTCGTCGTCTGCACCTCCAGAGCCCCATTTCTGCATTTCGGAGCAGTCCGTCTCCAGCCTCAGTGACCTGCTAAATGGGACCAATGATGATAGGACCAATGATGGCATTCACATCCCAGGACTGCGGTGAGCTGTAAATGAGTTGCTATTTGAAGTCTGACAATAGTAACTGGCACAGTCTCCAGCGGTCACCAACAGGTTGGCAACTGCTGACTCTGGACGATACTGTGTGTGAAGAGAAAAAGGCTGAAATTGTTAACATAAAAACATCCGAACATGTAAAGAATTTTTGTGAGTTTATTTGAGCCAGGAAGCAGAACCTCGATGAAATGAGATAATGTTCCAGAAAATGGCAATTCTTTTTCATCTGTTTTATAGATTAGAAAGGCAGGAGAAAGCAAATGGGGAAAACCCCTGGGACTGGATAAAAAGTAAAATGATAAACACATACTTAGATGGGTTTAGGATAGTTAGCAGTCTACAATCTATATATATAAAAGCCAAGCGGCCAGACAAACAATCCCTATGATGCGCACTGTGGCCCCAACCTCTGGTGGGCCCTCTCCCTCACGGGCCCAGCCCAATTGGGTCCCATGAGGTGAGCCAGCCGGACCCAACCCCTGCACGAAATTGTGCACTGGGCCTCTAGTTAACATGATAACAGTGACAATGAAGAAACTTGTGGTCTCTGTCCTGATGCCCAGCACATTGGGTTGTGCCTGGAGAGGTCTGGAAAAAGGGAAGTTACAAGCTACCCAGACATTTCAAGGATATGTTATCACAGGTGCAAAAAGACACATAGGTTCCGTTAAGGTAAAGGTTGACCTTTTCAATGCCTAGGATGTAACTACCCACCACCACTGCTTTAGTTAAAGTTTAATTTCAGACCATCCTTTGTGGTGACTTTAGGTCTGCATTTGCAAGACCACCACGCAGGCCTCCCCTGAGCTGTCAGGTCAGCATGTGGCTTTTTTCTCCCCACAAACTGGAAAGGGAACTTCTGCTGGGGCTGCAGGGACAGCCTAGACCAGTGGTCAGCAAACTGCAGTTCTTAAAGCCACATGCGGTTGTTGCCGCTTTGTTGACTAATGAGTTTGCCGACGACTGGCCTATACATGTAATTTCCAGCCTCTGCCCCTGTGATTCTGGGATTCGAATCAATGAGCTGATAGGGTCCTACAATCTAAGAGGATTTAAGCATCCTCTTTTAAAACAGTACATTTCCTTAAATTCAGGAACATGTTAGGGGGGAAAATACTAAAGAAAATCAAGAGTTTTAGAAAACATAAATGTTCTTCCCACATTTGACGTTAGCTAGAAGGGGGTGCCTTCCCAAATGGCTGTGAGTGAGTGCGTTTGTGCTCATCTGTGAGTCAGCTTCTTCCCCCGTCTTTCCTCCACTAGAGATCAGACCGTCTTCAAGGTGTTTGAAGTCCAGCATCGGGCCTGTGGGGATTTTGAACTTGACTGACCCACACACAGCTAAGGGGATATTAAGTAGCTGAGAGGAAGAAGAGCTAGATAAAACAATGTCATGTCCTCTGTGAACTTTGCCCAAATTCCCACCTTCCTTATCATTCCTACCACTTTCCCCACAACGTTTTATCTCATAAATTCTCAAACAGAGTTGGAAGACTTTACAGTAAGTACCACCCAGATTCTCTGGTTCACATTGTACTGCGCTTGCTTTCCACACTAGTCACTCTGCCTCCCGCTAGCCATCACACTTTGTTACAGCGCTTGTTTCAGCCTTTTGCTTTTGTTAGTTTTATGTGGCTTCAACAAGCTGATACATTTCTTGCTTTTTGTTTGTTTGTATTTCATTACTACATCCTCAGCACCTTCTGACACAAAGTAGGACCTTAGTGAAAATTTCCTGAATGAATGAAGAGACACCAAGTATCACTTGTAGATTCCCAAGGGCCACTGAGCACAATGAGGGGCAAGCAGGGAGCATCAGATACATGTCACAGGAATGAAGGAAGGAAGGAATGAACAAACGTGGAAGAGGTGAGAAGTACCGAGTCCAGTCCCCTTCACCTCCGTGGAGGGAAAGGTGTTCCCTAGATCAGCGGTCACCAACTGGTGGTCTGAGGGGTCTGAAAGGTTGGTGACCGCTGCCTTAGATCATACTGATGCCGCTGCTTGTTTTCCTGGCATTCTAAGTAACTATCTGCAAACTAGTTGAACGAACTCCTTAACTAAGCTGACTCATTACCCATCTCTGCACCGTTTAATGTTATACCTGTCCTTTGTGCTTGAGTTAAAATACATAGAACAAAAGCTGTCTGTATAAAGGCAAGGCCTCCTATACCTGCATTTCCAGCTGCCCTCTGCACTCCATGTTTTCCTGTGCCGCATGTTGGCTCCTTCCTGTCCCTGGGGCTGGCTTCCCCACACAGAAGCTGCCCACGTCCATTTAAATTACTAAGCGCATCCCAGCGCTGGTGACCTCAGCAAGGACTTTCCCATCTTTCTCTCTAAGGCAAGGCAGGCAGCCTGCCATTCCCTGTGCTGCATCATCCTCTCCCGGGAGCCTGGCCGCTGAATCCCAGGGCTCAAGATGTTCAAGTCACATCTGAGCCGACCGTAGCAATTACAATGCGGGTTCTGAACTAAGTGATTCTGTGTTCTGTCCTCCTCCCCCTCCCACTAAGCGGGGAGGGCAGGAGGGGGAGGTTTTCAATTATTATAAATCCTGATTTCGAACAGATTCAAGGAAACACATTTTCTCGCTATCTGTGATCATCTCTTCTATAGGTGTGGATTTCAGCCTGATCAAGTGCTGGCCTTGTTCACACAGAGATGAAGTCAGCATGAGTGTGCAGCTGCGGCTGCAGCCAAGGCAGAGACACAGCTGATGACAGTCCCCACCGGCCCACTTCTCTCCCATGCAGCTGGAGTTCCCAGCTAGACAAGCAACATTACATGTTGCCTGAAAGTTCTCCCCCAAGGTGCTTCACACCATGACTAATTCTTTAATTTCTCCTCACATTTCCCAGCAGAAAATATGTTCTTACACCTCAGCATGTCTCTGAAGCATTTCAGTTCTCTGTATTGCCTTTCTAACTACTTTCTGCCTTAAAAAAAAAAAAAAAAAAAAAAAAAAGGCAGTTACAGTTGATTCAACATTAGCTTGTACTGGTCGGACGGACAGCATCACGTTTAGACACAGACTTCACAAAGTGACTGCTGTGTTCCCTTTGTCACTCAGCCTGCTTGGACAGATGCCAAGTGCTGCTCTGCAAGGATGACCAGGTGACACAATGCACTGCCCACCTGGCTCTGGGGTCTTCATCGCTCTCAGATACGGTCAGGCATCCGGTGCGTGTCCAGCATTGGCACCAGCAACATGGGGAAGGCCAATCCTTGAGCTCCACCCAGAACCAGTGAACGGGAACTCCACAGGGCGAGGGGGAGGGTGACAAGGCCTCCAGGTGACTCCAGAGCCCTGGAAGTTTGAGAACTACTGACCTAGTAAGTTCTATGCAGAAAGGTTAAGTTCTATGCAGAAAAGTAAGGTGTATGTTTTTGCATTGAGACTAAACTTTATAACTTTATAACATTGAGACTAAACTTTATAACTTTGGTTTCTCTTTTTTTCTTTGGCTAGTTTATTAACTTATATATGCCTCAGTTATTTCAACTGCTACATGATACCTGGCGTGTAGGATGGTCATGAAAATGTGCAGACACGTGGTCACAGAGTAGCTGTTAAATAAACATCATGTCCCTCCCCCTCTATTTCTACCGCAGCTCTGATTTATACAGAAGCCCCGCTGCATGGGGATTAGGAGTCCAAGGTAAAGGATTCCTCACCCCCAATGGCACAATAAAGTAACAATTAAAAGATAATGTCCAGCCCTAGCTGGTTTGGCTCAGTGGATAGAATGTCAGCCTGTGGACTGAAGGGTCAAGGGCACATGCCCGGGTTGCAGGCTCGATTCCCAGTGGGGGGGGGGTGTGCAGGAGGCAGCCAATCAGTGATTCTCTCTAATCATTGATGTTTCTATCTCTCTCTCCCTCTCCCTTCCTCTCTGAAATCAATTAAAAATATATATCTATATATATTTTAAAATATATATTTTATTGATTTTTTACAGAGAGGAAGAGAGAGGGATAAAGAGTTAGAAACATCGATGAAAGAGAATCATCGACCAGCTGCCTCTTGTACACCCCCTACTGGGGATG